GGCTTTTCGTAAATGGCCTACACTGCTTAGATGGCGAGAGGGACCCTGACTTGGCGTCCGGAGGACAGTGTAACTAGCAAGAAACTGTTCAGTCTCGCCTCATACCCACTGAACCATAGTAAAGTCATGTCATTATAGGGAGGCAGCTACAGTTTTCCTCGATACTTATGGCTCGATGATACTTTTTTAACTGATTAACCGCTTACTTGTCCGTACATATAGTTTTCCCGTCCCCTAAAAAGCATAGGCCGTACAGCTCTTACAATGGAAAACTATGCAGAGCATGAGATTATCGTTCCCCAATGTAGTTGGTCTTGCTCTAACTTCTACGAAGCCCAGGGTTTGAGTCAAAACTGAGGTTTAGGCTAGTTTAAGTGCGCCTGACGCCACCTCCAGTCTTCTCAACCGTGTCTTGACACCGCACTCGGGCGAGTGAGGGAAGAGAGAGGGAAAGTGCGGTAGACGACGACTTCACGTCACGTCAAAAACTGCACTGAATCTCATTCCCACCCGGCTTAATTAGTGCTAGTCATTGGGGTTTGAGAGGTAGGTGAAGGACTGGAGTCTCTACAGTTGACTTGATCAGTCCACACGCTTTCCAGCAGCAGTTCTGACATGGTAGCTTACCAGTTAAGGGCGTACGTCTCAGAATGGACGATCGAGTGGTAATGCTTTTTCCTTGCTGCCGCCTTTATGGCGGTTCAGAAGCCACCTGCGTGGACGCGTGTGGATGCAGAAAACAGGTCGCGCGTAGCACGCGTAGACGAACTGTGTGTAACTTCGTCATCCACTGCTCCCATATCCACGTTCAACAAAGAGGGCTTTTGAAACTAAGCCGCAGTTTTTGTCCTGCTTTTCATTCGCACGTAACTTTGAAGGTAAAACTTTGGTTCCCGCGATCGCCTCTTCTTCTCATTTATGCCCGGGACTCGGATTTTCGCTGCTATTAGCAACATATATGTCATTCATTTGGAAATATATATTTCAAAATAAAGTGTATCTCTCTTTCTTAACATTGTCCTGCCACCAAATCACAGTAGGCATGGGAATAGCTAGTAAGGTATATGCGGCGCAACTATGCTTTGTTATTACAAGAATTGACAAACAACTGACTATGACGTGCACCTTATGGGCTAGCAAGGGGAATTTGTTGTTTTGAATAAATCGGATTACCAAAAGAGACTAGGAGGTATGTTTGAAAGCTTGCAAAACAGGAATAGGCGCGCAACAAACTACTGGTTTCCCGGAGGAAAGAAGGGGGTTGAGGCATAATTAGAGAGGGCAGCCTCTTGTTCAGGTTCAAAAATGCAAAACGTTTTGCAGACTTTGTGAAGTTGCGTTGCTTCCTTCTGAAAAAAAACAACTTTTTTTGAAAAAAAGTCTATACTCACTCTACAAAAATAAAGGATTAAGAAATTTAGCAGCTACTTAGGCGGTTGAGAAGAGCAGGGCGTAGTTTTTTCTAGCTTGACCTAAGCCCTACTGACCGAGGCTAACAAACGCATTCTGCAGTAGCGCCTTAAAGCGCCGTGTGCAATTA